CCCAGCTACTTGGGAGGCTGAGGCAGGAGACTCGCTTGAGCCCAGAAGTTGGAGGTTGCTGTGAGCTATGATGTCACAGCACTCTACCCAGGGGGACAGCTTGAGGCTTGGTATATATAATATACCTATATATATATATATTTTGACTTATTATATTTCCAACTTACAATGGGTTTATCATTAGAAGTAAAGGTACATTTGTATTTAATTGCTCTGTATAAATATAGGTTCTCTTTAACCTATCTGGGACATTTTCAATGTCTGCTCACTTTAATCTATATACCCTTCCCCCACTATAAGGATGAGCCATGGGAGGGTCTCTTCCACTCACAGATAAGGAATTGAGTCTTAGAGGAGATCACAGAGCTTAGAACTTCTGGATAGAGAACTCAGGAATTCAACCTCCAGCTTAGCCCCAGACCTAAGCCAAGGGCCTGGGAGACATTTTTCTGGGAGCCAAACTGCCCGATGTGAATATTGAGCCAGGGTGCAAAGGCATCTGATCCCTAGAATTGGCCGATTTCCCCTTGGGATCCAACCACAATTTTCAATTTCTAGGGTTCCTCCAGTGAAACCCCAGCTACTTGGTAGCTTCCACGATTATTAGGGAAGGGACAAGGAGTCCACCTAGACCACCTGGGACTCCAGCTGATTTCTGGGAAGGGGATGATCAGGTTTCAGATTTTCCCCTTTATTCCAGAAAGGTTTTGATCTAGGGCTGCCTCATCCCCCTCCTTGCCTCAGAAATTGGGTTTTGGTAGCTTCATGGGTATGGGTTGGTACCAGGCAGTGGGAATAACTGGACACCAAGCCTCACAAGTGGTGACAAATACCCAGTGTCTTCACCCCCATCCTGAAACATCAAGCCAGCCATTCTTGTCCCCAGAGGCCACCCTGCACTTCCCTGAAACCTATCCTAACACCTGGAACCTTTCAAGGTCTCTGGGAGGCTGATCCCCTCTGTTATCCCCTCTCTCTCCCCAGGCTGTCTGACTTCCACCCCCACATTCACATAAGAGAAAAGCTCTGCTTGGAGGGCACCAGCCCCCCACTCCCACCCCCACCCCCACCCCACCACTATATGGGATGAAGCCTTGCCCTCTTAGGGCCTGAAACAACCCCCCTCAGCTGTTTGGCAGATCTTCCACCAGAGAGCTAAGCCCCACAGCCCCTCTGTGGGTCAGCTCTGGAGGCCCGCCCCCAATAGTCACAGCCCTGGTATGGCTCCTCTTTACCTACTGAGTCTCCCTCTCTCAGCAGGCCTCCCAGGAAGAGCTGTGTCTTAGCACTCTGGAGACACATGCAGGACCTCCCTCCCACCACTAACTCAGAGATGACTTCAAGGTCCTCAACCTGTTTGACTCTGTGTTTCCCCAACTGGGGAGCAGAGGTGCCATTCTCTTCTCATCTCCAAGGTTGTTAAGGGGCTCTGTGTAAGACTGCTTTGAGAAGGGCCCACTGCTGAGCTGGAATAAGGGCTCAGCTTCTCCCCTCCTGCCCTACTCCGCACTCCCCAGCCAGCTCAGAACTATTTGTCAGGGTTTCTGTGGTTATCACCTCTTGAAAAGCAACTAACAGGGCTTCATTGGGCAGCTAGCACCTGGTGAGGACTTTCAAGTCTGGACAAGATTAGCTAAGTCATCCCAAACAGGTAAAGCCCTGACCTTGAAAACAAGTCTTGCCCTTTGCTATTCTGTGCCCCTGACAGTCCCTCACCCTTTCCAGGTCCTCTCTATCATATGGTACAGTTTCATTCTCTCTATAACCATCTTTAGTGCTTAGAATTTTTTTTCCCATTATTTCCTGTCTTACCCCATTAGACTGTAAGCTCCTGGAGGATAGGGCCTCTGACAGGATCAACCCAGCACCAAGCACAGCCCCTTTTGCAGAATAAAGCTGCACCCATCTACCCCATCCCCACTTTCAGGAGGGGCTCTCAGAAGCAAATGGCTGCTCTTCCCTTTTCGCACTCGTCCAGATTCCTTATTGCTTCTGCAAAGCCCCTCTGCAACCACCTTGGATATGAGGACTGGTTATTTGGAGGTCCAAATCCTTGCCTCGCCTCTGATCAGGGAACCCTTATACTGGCCCACAACGGGATCGGGGGGTCATTGGGAAGATTGCAGCAAGCCAACCGGTCTTCCCCCACCCTTTCTCTTTCCATTCTCCAGGGCCGCCAGGCGAGCGTGTCCATCCATCCCCACTGCCAAGCCGGTCACTCGGCCTGCAGCCCGTCACTCGGTCCCGCCCCTTCACACGCGTGTGGACACGCCCCTTCCCAGCCCCCAGCGGGCCGGCAGCCTGCCGAGTACCTGGGAAGCTCAGGTCCCTTGGTGCCGGAGGACCCACATCCTAGTCACCGCAACAAGTCAGTGCAACCAAGGCGGCTTGCCTGGGCTCTAGGCCTCACCATCCTCCTCCTGCGGCCCCAGCATGGCCCGGGCGGGCTCCAGAGTCATGGCAGCCTTGTGTCCAGCACATCTTCAATCTATCCCTCTCTTAGGGCAGGGGTTCTCCGGGAGAGCAGACGCAGTTCCGGGGCCCGCTCGGGTTTTTGTTTTTGTTTTTGTTTTTTTTTTTTTTTTTGCACGGACTCAGAGAACAATGGAGCAGCTCTCAGCGCTTCCTCTAGCGGAGCAAGCTTTGTTCCTCCCTTCCCGCCTGCTCGGCTACCATTAGCCAAAGGGCAAAGGCTTCCTGGTCAACCAGGAGTCTCCGTGCAAAAGTCCAGACCTTTCCACAAGCCCTAAAGACCTGGGGTGTGGACCGGATGTAGGAGCTGAGGCCAGAGCCAGGGCTAGGTATAGGACAAGCATCCAGATGCGCTCAGCTGGCAGCCTGCCCGCCCCCCAGCCCGAAAGGCTTCTTTTTGCCAGAACCCCCACACCCGGGAAATCCGACTCGAGCTCCCACCCGGGATCCACAGAGGAAGTGGAGCCTCAGCTGTGTTCCAGGGCCAACCAGCCCTCACATCTGCTCTCCCAACATCTGTCCTCTAGATCCGGGCTCTCACCGGACGCTCACCGGACGTTCCCCTGGTAATGCAGGATGCTCTCTTGTCCAGTGCAGACCAAACCACAACTGAGGTCTCCAACAGCCGCAGATTTTGCCATGTTGGGATTTGCGGCTTTAAAAAGGAAGCTAATGGACTCTATTTCTAAGAACCTGTGACACCCCGCCCCATTGTCCAGCCTCATCCCAGGCAGGCCAGAGCAGAGCCTGGGCTCCCGCAGGGTAACATCTTTAAGATGCACTTTAGCCATGCGCATCTGGAGGTGGGCCAGCTCTGCACATCTGTGAGCAATGCCCCTCGCAACCTGACCGGTGATCAATAAAGCCTATGGGAAGCGGAAAAGGGAGGGAGCTTCACTTTCCCCTCATCTTCCCCAGCAGCTGGGCTGGAGAAAGCCAGGGGCGGGGTGAGGCGGGGCGGCAGGACTTACCCAGCATCTGGCTGAAGAGCAGCTGCTCCAGGTCGCCCAGCACCGTCACCACAAGCTCTGGGTCCACCTTGAGGAAGGCACGCTCTTCCTGGCTCTTGGCAGAGGGCACCGGCCCAGCGGAGGCCTTTTGTGCCTTGGCCTTGCTGGAAAGCAGCTCATCATCCGATTTGCCGTCGTCGCTCACGGCCGCCTCAGGCGCCTTGCTAAGCGGCTTGACCTCCGCGTAGGGTCCTCGGGGGATCCGGCTCGGCTTTCCCAAGCTGGGAGCAAGCGGAGCCAGAGGGGTCTTGGCGCTAGCAGCCGGGCTCCCCTTGGCCTGGAAGAGCGAGTGCTCTGACTTGGACAGAGTCTTGGACATCAGAGGAGTCTCACGGCCTTTGGACCCCACCTTGCCCAAGCCCTTGGGCGCCTTGGCCATATCGTCGCTCCATTCAGGTTCATAGAGCTGCAGTTTTTTCTCCGAGTCTGTGAGGAACGAGAGATTGGTGAGCGACTTCTGTTTGCGCAGGTTGGAGGCGGGTGGCCCGCTGGGGACACGGCTGTCCACGCTGCCGGACTTGAAGACCTTCAGCTCAGCAGCGCTGGCCTTGGCCATGCCGCCACCACTACTGGGCGCCTTGGCGCGCTTGGGTAGCATGCCTTTGCCGTCCGCCGCTACCGCCTTCTTGCCGGCGCCCCGCGGCTCGTCCGCGCCCTCGTCACCGCCGCCACCGCTCAGCTCCACCTCGGGCTGCAAGCTCTTGACGCTGCTGCCCAGCATTCTGCCCGCAAGGAGCGCATGGACGATCCGCGCGTCTGCAGGCACAGGAGGGGGGTGCAGGGGGCGGGAGCGCCGAGAGGAGGAGGCAGGGGAGGGAGTAAGGGGAGAGAAAGGACGAAAGAAACCGAGGAAGAAGGGGAGAGGAAGCGGGAAAGAGTGAGGGAGGAGGGAAGGAGGAAAGTCAAGGGGGGGGCAGGGGAAAAAATGCAAGGAAGAAAGCCAGGAAAAAGGAAAGAGCAAGGAAACCGTGGAGCGATGGGGCGGGGTCGGAGGAAAAGGGGCGGGGCGGGGAAAATACAAATTAAAATTTTAAAATCAGCCAAAGGAAGGGTAGAAGCCCTGTGGCGACTCGGCTGGTGCAGGAAGGTGCTTCGATGCCCGATTCCCGGCCCGCGACATGCCTGCCTGTCAGTCCTGCCGGCAGCGCATTGCCGGGCAGCGCCCTCGCCGCACTCCGCCCGCTCGCCGGAGTAAAGACTGCAGCCTGCAGCTCAGAGTGGAGGAAGGAGGGAAAGGGAAGGCGGGGAGCAAACAGGAGGAGGGGAGGAGTGTGCGCAAGGGGAGGGAGGTGGGGGAGAGAGAGTGTGTCTATTTCTGGCTCGGGAGGGGGAGGTATCTGCGTGTGGAGCTCCAGGGGCGGATGAGCGGGGGCTAGGGGGAGATAAAGGATCGGACCAGTTTTTCTTGCTTTCTGCGCAAAGGCGGGGCGGGTTCTCCGGTTCTCCGAAGGCACGGGTGGCCCCCTGCCGTGTCCGCGGGAAAGCTCTGCTGAGATGTAGGGGTGCAGGTAAAAGGGACTGAGAGAAAGCGGCAAGGGGTGAGGGAAGGAGAGTGGGCCTATGGGATCTGGAAGAGATGTTGGGAGAGGGGTGAGGAAGTAATATCCAGGTTGCTAATTCTCCACCCTCCACCCCAAACCATTGTTGGTTTTCCCCCCGGAAACTCCCAATTTTACCCTACTTCAGTCTCTGAGGCCCAAGGTTGCCCTCCTGAGCCCAGAAGGTATGGGATAAGGGATAGGACACCGGTGGCTTTGACGAACAGGGCCCCAGGGTTGACTTGGGATCAGGAGTATAAGTTCCTATTCTAACTGACTGCATGACCTTGTCAAAGTCACTGAACCCCTCTGTCTTCCCTTATGGTTGTTATAATTCCAGCTTTACTGGTAAAAGGGGGCTTTGGAACTGTAAAGCCCTTTGTCAAACCTAGGCAGTCAGGAAGAGGCTTAGCCCTGGGTCCTTAGTCTGCCAGAGAGCTTAAGAACAATTTAAAAAGACGTTTCCCTAGGCCTTCTCCCTTCCCTCCCACCTGGGCTCAGGGGGACAGGATGGAGAAGGAACAAAAACCAGATGGAGTAGGCAGCAGTTTGCCCAGGACTATACCTCAGTAGAGGGGACACTGCCAATCCTCCTATGGCCTCCCAAATCAGGGCCAGGTTGCATGAGGAGAAAAAAAAAAAAAGTAGAGGGGAATTCTCTGAAAGCAAAGCTTGCTTCAGAAGAGGCAGGCCTGTGATGGAGCACACACTAAGGACTGTATATCCCTATGTGCCAGAATGTGCTAACCATCAGACTATCTCCTCACCCTTTCCCCCAGCTTCATCTTTCTACCTCTTTCCTCTCCTTCCTCCACCCCACCCCCTAGAATCTAAACCCTGTGTCTAAGTCTCATGGTTCACTCACTGTGCTAGCACTAATCATCACAGCCTGAGTGGTGTGAGAGGTATTTGTATATGTGTCTATCTTCCCCACCAGCACAGGAGTTCTCCCCATGCAGAACTGTGTCTCTTAGCACCTTGTATGGAAGCAGGTGTTGCAACTGTGTTGCTTAAATGGATGTGGAGCCCTAAGTCTTATCTACTGTGTCTATACCCTGTGTGACTCTTAGGCCCTGGTGGTATCCCAGGACTCTGCCTGACATGAATCCAGGGCTGGACTGAGAAACTATAAAATCTGCAAGGACTGAGGTCTTAGCAGAGAGGATGTGCTTATCACAATACTGAGAACATAGAATTCTCAAGCAGAGAATTATTTGGTAAAAGCATGAACCATTGGCTAGGCCCTGGATATCCAGGGAAAGAGGGAGATTCTGCCCTCAAGGAACTCAAATGTCTGGCAGGGAATATAAAACAGACAACAAAAGACACAGGATAATAATCCTGTCCCTGTGAAAAGCAGTATCATACACATCAACATATTCATCACAGGCAGACAGACATAGTTGTGTGTGTGTTCTAATTGCAGGAACAACAATAGTCACTGCCTCCAAGGAGTGGAGGAAAGGAGTTGGGTGCAAAGATTTACCAGAAGGTCCTGTGGCAGAGGGAACAATGTAGACTGGCCTCAGAGGCCTGTGCCCAGCATTTAGGTACCTCAGGGGTAGACTGCAAATAGGAAATGACAAACAGGGAACTGGTTAAAGGGATGTGAGTGGTATCATGCCAGAACTTGGGCAGGCACAGGGTGAGGCCAATCATGGGACTCCCTCTCTGGGCGCACATGAGGTACTCGTGCTGATGCACAAACACAAGATCCCAGCTGCTCAAGTAAGAGATCAAGCCCCACTTTTGGTGCCAAATCTTTTTTTTTTTTGAGACAGGAGCCTCAAGCTGTCCCCCTGGGTAGAGTGCAATGGCATCATAGCTCACAGCAACCTCCAACTCCTGGGCTCAAGTCTCGAGTCTCCTGCCTCAGCCTCCTGAGTAGCTGGGACCACAGGCACCCTCCACAACGCCCAGCTATTTTTTGGTTGCAGCCGTCGTTGTTTGGCCGGCCAGGGCTGGATTCGAACCCGCTACCTTGGGTGTACGTGGCTGGCGCCTTAGCCACTTGAGCCACAGGCGCTGAGCCAACCAAATCTTTCCATAAGCATGGTGTGCTCTTCTCTCCTATCCCACAGGTCACTTGTAATGAAGTTACAAAGCATCATTTCCACAGTCCTCTTCCTTACTCATCGATCATTCTCTAATTTACACAAGACACCCCTAATTCAGTCACGTGGGAACCTCACTCTTCCTAAAAATAGCAATTTGAAAATCTGAGGTCTGCTATCCTCTGATTTACCAGGTTATATCCATACTTGCTTATTCTATGTTCTCTTCTCACATATAAATTCAGGTTCTTAGTAGACAATGAGAAATTAACTGGTTAACATCCTAGCTGAAAAACCTTATTTCCACTGTGACCCGTTCCACCCAGTGTATTGTGCTGAGGGCAAAACCTGGTGCTCCCTCCCATGGTTTAATTTGGCTCCTCATCCCTGATACCCATGTCTATAGGCTAGCTCCTCTCAAAGCCTTTCGAGTTGCTATGGACCACCACTGTTCCACTTGTTGCTCTGTTCACTGCACCTTGTCATTGGATGTCTGCTGCCCTGGGACTTGATCTTCCTCCCTTCCTGCTTATCTCATGCCTCCATATGAGCCATAGCTGAGTTCTTTCCCTTTTCTTTTTCTTGCTTTCTTTCTTTTTTCTTTCTTTTTTTTTTGGTTGTTGTTGCAGTTTGACCGGGGCTCGGTTTGAACCCGCTACCCTGGGTATATGGGGCCAGCACCCTACTTACTGAGCCACAGGCACTGTCCCTCTTTCCCTTTTCTTTATCTCTCTTTGTTCCTCATACCTCCTCTCATGGGATATCCTATTCCCCAAATCCCAAGTCCTTTTGCTTCCCTCAATAAACAGCTCCTGAAATTTGAGAAGAAAAGAGAGTTGTCCAGAGGAGAGGCACAGCCTCCTCCCCACTATCTAAACCTAGTGCCCCATACTCCCTCCTGCATGAAATGTCACCTGTCAGTTTATGAGACAGAAAACACTTCCTATGCACATCTTGTGAGTTTATTCAGGGCTGATCCCCTTGAGTGACCCCGCTCTGTCCACACAAGATACTGCTCACTTTCCCACTGTCATTCTTTAAAGGGTCTTGCCATGGGCAGGTGGTAGTCCCTTTAAATAGTCATTGGGCATCCAGGAACTTTCCAGTGCTCCCTAATCCAACCTCTCCTTCTATCTGACTCTTTTTTGATTCCTTTCACATCCCCTGAGTTTCCCACTATCCTCTACTGCAGTGGGAGCGCTGCTACCCTGGCAACAGCCATTCCAGCATCAGTCAATAAAGCCAATATGTACAGAATGTTTCCTCGAGTGATTCCTAAAAAGAAAGGGACCTGTCCTGTCACATTATCCCCAAACCTAGCCCTGTGCCCTTCCCACTCAGCCATTTTCCTCTTTCCCAACCTGCAAGACCCACAAGCTGTGAATTGTTCACTGAAGAGAGATGCTGTAATCAAAAATCAGCGGTCAACAGAGGGGCTGGGTGATGAGGAAGCCTGGGTGGGCAGACAGTGTGTGCCAGTGATGTCATTAACCTGTCTAGGGGGATCCTGCCCAGTTTCTAAAGTGGGTGGAGAAAGAGGCTGGTTTGGAATCATGAAAGTTTCCAATCCCCAGCTTCCCAAAGACTGGCTCATCTCTCCACTCCTCTCTCTCCAAAGACATTGGCAGGTTCTGGGCTGGAGATAGGATGAGTGATTTGACCACATCTGTTGACCAATAACTTAAAGCAATTTGAGGAATGAAGACATAGGCATACAGCCAAGGAAAGGCATGCTGTGTGATTTTACATTCTCACACCCCTGTGATTAGAAACGGATGTATCACAGTGTCTGCGTGGGGTCTGGGGGCTCTGCCTATTGGGACTGGGTTAGGAGAGCTGGGGGGTGAGCAGTAGAAGAGAAGAGAAGGTAGAACAGAGGGGTAGGAGCAGCCTAGCCCTGTTTACTTTGAAAAATGACCTGGGAAGAAGGCAGGATCTGAGGGAGGGAGTAGTAGGCAGGTGAGGCCACACCTGGTTCCCTCCAGGGCTAAGCACAGACCAGGGAATGGGAGGGGGGAATCTTGATTTCTGTGCCCACAGTTAGATCTGGAGAGTAAGGACTAGGAACCCAGTCACATGATTCTGCAAGCTTAGCCTGCCCAGGACCAGTCCAACTGAGGAACAAGCACTTATTTAAGTTTTTCCTGTTTACATCCCCAAGATA